GAAACCCAAGTAAAATGACTTAAATATATGCACAAAATGCACTCATCAACAATCCACTAAAAATCTAATTTTAATCCCCACCAAACATCCTCTGAGTATCATTTCTTTCCTTCATCAAATCAGAAAATTCACTTTTCCCCTTAAAATTTACAACATGATTGTAAAAGCTTCTCATGAAGGCATAAAAGGTGTCTTTGCAATCAGTTCAAATAGTTTAAATGCTTGATTCATTGATTTATTAGTGATAGAACCAATATACCACTTGTGTGAGAAGTTCTAAAATTATCTTGTTGAATGACCAAAAATGTAATCAACATTTTCAAAGTTCTTTCAACATGTCTCAACTTCGACACTAAGCAATTCATCAATAGTGAACATAAGATCCACAGAACAATAGATTCATTTCTCAATTAAACTGTAACTAGAATCCTGAGTAAATCCCAACCTTAATAGTATTTGTATCAAAATCCAGCTCAATTGTTGAAGTTTGTGCAAGACTTTGGTTACATCAGCCAATCCAGATTTACTCAAAGTAGGGTCATGATCTATTCAAGGAAAAAAAAAATAGACGAGACCGGAGAAAAACCAACAGCTCTTAGCAATTAAAAGCTTAAAATTTGAGTGGAAAATCACATCTTGAAACATGGGTATGCTTAAAATTTCGGCCAAACGTTATCAACAAATCAAGGAATTAAGAAAATTCGAGAATTTGATAGAGAAAACCAAAAAGAAAATGAAATCTTGAAAAAAGGCATGCTAAAAGTTTCAGCAAACATAATCAAAATATTAATAAATCAAGAAATTAAAACTAGTGTAATGGTCTGTGATTATTTTGTAAAACTAGAGGTTCAATGAATCAAAATTCCCCTTCCTTGAAACCCAACTAAATCGTAGCACCGGAGTTCATGACTTCTAGGCAATAACAGTCAACATCAACAATTCCCAGAAACGCCATAGCAAGTGTTCTGCTCAATCACGTCATACTAAAATTAACACCCACAACGATTACACCATCGCCCAAACCCAAAATTCCCATATAATCTAAATCGACATTCATTTATCTAAACCCCATTGTAACAAAAGCATTATAAAACCGCAAACAATAAAATGCACATAAGTACCCAACCTTAACAGCGAGGGCAAGAATAGCTCGCATTTTGGGCTTGGAATTACAGCGCACATAATAAGTCAGCCCATTATCAAGCCGACCGCAGTCGACGCCGTACGGAGGCTCCGGCAACACGTCGTCTAGGTTAACGTTGACCAATTTCAATGAACGGAACCTGTGTTTCTTCTTAATCAAGATCTGTGGTGATTCTACGGGCAACAAGTCCATCATTTTTGGAATGGCTCCACGATTTTATTAGCCCAAAACGTTGCAATGTTTGACGGTGAATGTGCAAAATGTCTGAACTTTTCATTTTTTTACATTTTCATCCCTATTTCAATGTTTCACTGTGGAAAACGTCATTTTCATTATTTTTCAATATAAAATGACCAATATAGCCTCAAATTTAAATAAACACAAAAAAAATGAAAGGAAAAATAAAAAATAAATTGTAATCATACTTCTAAACTTTTTAAAAAGTGCAAATGAGTCCAAAAGCCTTAATTAAAAGGCTTAAACACAAAATATCCCTACGTTTAACACTTAATGCGAAAAACGTCCTTACGTTTCAAACATATTTGTACTTGCTAAATAGCACAAAACGTTCCTACGTTTGACATTTATTGCGTAAAATGTCCTATTGTTTCATTTCTTTTTGCATTTCCGTCCTTATTTCAACGTTTCAATGACTAATATACAATCCTATTTAAATAAAATAAAAATGAATTACAATTATGCGCTCAAACTTTTTAAAAAGTACAAATGAGTTCAAAAATAGTGATGAGATGATGTTCTCTATACCATTCTGGTTCTTTATATTCAGGACTAATTGTGTAAAGTCTCAGTTCAGCTGATTGCTTATCACTAAATTTTTTAACACAATTAATGAATTTTTTATCAAATTGTTCAATTTCTTTTAGATGTGCTCCTTAGAAGAGTCGATCTAAAAATCCAAATGTTGTCAATTTTCGAACAATATTAGGATTTGTTCTTTAAATTGCACTGATCTTTGAATACATCGCTGTTGGAAGGACTGTTAATTAAAGAGAACTTCATTTTCTAAAATTATATACTCATTCTGAGAATTCATAATACTCATTCTCCATAGAATGTAGATTAACTCTGATGTGATGAGTTGTAATTATTCCCTTAGGTGATTTGAGGTCACCAATCAGTGCTTTATTTTCTTGGAATTCACTGATAACAGTAGACTGTTCCTATGGACCTTTTGATAAGGATGTTTGAGTACTAGACTCAGCGGCTCCTTTTCCACTTGTAAATTTTTCCAACAACTTGTCAATACTGACGGGTTATTGT